CTTTCAGTCCTGTACACTCTCTGGTCATCGTGTTCAGGAGGTGCTCACGACGTGAGATTCCCAACACAAAGTTGGCGCTCTTCGGCTTTCGTGAGTGATCACCTCACACAACATCGTTGGTAAAACGGTAGAATTGAGCAGGTGAGCACGGGCTTTTTTCCTGGTGTTGCTGAGGAGGATATCCTTGATGGAAGGGAATGCGCGACAACCGGCCCTCTTTCCTTGCTGAATCTCTCCAACCTGATCATGCCGCATGTTGATCTCTTGGTCCTGGTAAGTGTATATATCGACTTCTTCGCTTTTATTGTCATTTAATATTACAAGGGCTTTCGGCAGGGCATCCGACCGCGGTATCTTCGCCGTTAGCCGATTGATTCACAGCCAGATGTCTGCAGTTTTTCTCTCAAACTCTTACAGCATACCTTGTATCTGACTGATTTTTTCATGCAGACAACAGTGAGATATCAGTGAGCTTCAGGTGGCTAGGCATTGATACCTGGACTGATAAAGCATCGATCGATAAAGACATATATGCATATCCCCAGGCATGCAAACCTGGGGTCATAGAGGACCCCTCGATACATACACGTTTCGCTATTAATGTTAATCCCACCCTTCCAGCTCATCATCTGAAACTCCATTTCGAAACAATTTATAGGAGGTGATGCCTTCTCGTTTCACGGTCGTCCTTGCAGGATGGAAGCCAAGGGTTGTCGAACAAAGTGATATAAGTGATATTTTTTAAGCTGCCACAGTTCGCATTATTTAGCAGGTTGAGGTGAAAGGTGCCGAAGTCTAGTTCTGCCAGTTGATGCTGCTTTAACTCGAGTGTTTAGAATGTTTTCTCGTAATCGAGGATGGCGATGCGTAGAAGGATGAAATATTCTCTCGCGCTCATGAGTAAATGGTTTAAAATGAATGTTATCCGTTGTGAAGCAGCTCCTTTGGGGAATCCTGCTTGTTTTCTTGATTGCTGTTCGTCCAGACTTGTTAAAGCATGCAAATTTGGCCATGGCTCTTCAGATATTCGTTCTCGCCTTTCTTGAGCAAACAGTTGTTTTTGACTCTTTCCAACTTGATGATATCTTAGCTGTTTTTAGATAGCAGCCGAACTTTTCCAATGGAGACCTTTACGGCGATGATCATTTCCCTTGGCAGACCGTCTCTTCCTGTGGCTATGCCTTTCTTCTTTTGCTACGCGGTACACCGAACTTCGCTTATGGGCACCGGGAACGCATTTCTTTCTGGCTGTTGGAGTGATGGGAAAGGGAGAGAGGAAGGTGTGTGTTTGACACAAAGGGCTGAGTTTGACTTCTTACAGGGGACGCAGTGGAGGTCGATGCATAGACGTGAACTCTTTCCTGCATTGTATCACGTTTCTGTGGTCTTTACTGTTTTCTGTAAACTTTGCAATCGGATAGTGTCGA